AATGTTCGATTGCGGGATAGCGGGCAGCGGCGATTGTTGGTTGCGAGAATGTCCGTGAAGGAGGAGAAATGACTGAGGTGGTTTAAGAAGAAACGAACAGGTTTTATTTCCACCTGATATTGTACAGACTCGAGAGTATCGGAGCAACGGCTGCGGTTACACGTGTCTAGCGCGCTCTCACAAGAGACTGGGGGCGAGCTCGGGTGCGCTCCCTCCGTTGGCCCGTCCTTTCGCGAAAGTTCCAGCCGATTGCCCGTTGAATTTGACTTTGAGACTACAAATAAAAACAAACAGCCTTCAATTTCAACGGGCATCGCCGGGTTGGCCGCGCAGGACGGGGCCACCGCGATTCGCGCAGCGAGCGCCGTTGGTTGGCGCACGCGCGGTTCGGCGCGAGCCCTCGGGGTGACGCGCCAACTCTCGAAACGGGGCGAGAGGAGCTTTAGCGCTTTGGGGCCGCATGCCCCCGCCAGCGCTGTCGCATCCTCTGTTTCTGAACATTCCGCCCGCCTCGTCGGATCGCGATCGACGAAATGACAGCACCGATTCGAGGTTAGGGCACGGTCGTGACGCCGCGATCCATCGATCGGGATAGCCTTGGCGCGAGTCAATCGCGCGTTGTTCAAGGCGGCGGAGGCCCGGCGAGCAGCCCCAACGCAGAGGCGAGGACGGGCGCGACGATACCTATGACAGGACGGACACGAGATAAGTATATACAATATTTACAGGTTAGATGCAGGTTATCGGTAACGCTAAGTGGAGCGGCGACTTCCTTGCAGGCTCACGCTTACGGCCCCTGAGGCGCGGCGTCGGCAGGCGGCAGAGGCACGATTTTGACCACCGGTCGGGTTAGCCGGCCGGTAGCAGTCCGGACGTCTACCACTCGCACCTGGTTGTCCTCCCCAGCGTACAGCCTTACGATGCGGGCAAGGGACCAGCGGCATGGTGGTGTCAGTTCACTCTTCAGGAGGCACAGTTGTCCCTCCTTCAGGCCGCCGCTTGTGGTCCACCATTTCGGCCGTGGCGTGAGAGCCTGCAAATGCTCGCGGGACCACCGTTGCCACAGGTGATCCCGCATCTGCTGCAGCAGCCGCCAATTGCTCAGCCGGTTCGGTGGCACGTCGATGAGCGCCGGTTCCGGTATGGCGTTGAGCGGCTCACCGATCAGGAAGTGCCCGGGAGTAAGCGCGCTAAGGTCCTCGGGGTCGTCCGTCAAGGCCTGAAGCGGGCGCGAGTTGAGGCATGCCTCGACCTCGGCGAGGAAGGTAGCCATCTCCTCGTAGGTGAGCTTCGTTTCGCCTATGACACGCTGCAGATGGTGTTTCACGGATTTTACGGCCGCTTCCCACAGTCCGCCAAAGTGCGGGGCAGCCGGTGGGTTAAAGTGCCACCGGATACCATAGTCGGCTAGGCGGCCGACAATCCGATGGGTCTCGCGGCCTGCCTCCCGGAACATGGTTCGCAGCTGTGAGTCGG